ACCTGATGTAAAGTTGTGTGTTCTTGTAATGTCGCCCATACATGCGTTGATGGCAAAGTCGTATGTTCCTCCGTATGTTGGAATGATGGCGTCGCGCAATCGATGGTTCGGGCCCTCGCGTTCGCACCACCCCCACCCCCCCCCACCACCCCCCCACCCCCCCCCACCCCGCCACCACCGGGCGACGTGCAAGTTGCATGCGTCGTTAAATTGTCCTGGGCAAAGGGTGAAGCCCATCTGGGCCCCCGTGGCGCTGGCGACCTCGACTAGGCCGCCGGGCGCCGTTAACGCGAGGGTAAAGTGTTCGATGGCTGCCAGCGCAAACCTCTCGTCATTGTCATGGGCATGTTTGAGCGCGACTGCTCGATGGAGTGCCCGAGTTGTGGCCGCAAATGCGTTGGCATCGTCGTAGTTGGTGGCCACTGTGCTGCGCCGCGCACGCGCACACATGACCGCACTCCCCCTACATCAGTGCGACATGGTCCCCTGCGCCTTAAGGGGGGGGGGGGGAGGGCTCTCCTCTCCTTGGGATACCAGAAAGCCATGCCGTGCTGAACGAGTCGTACACGTGCAATATGCGTTTAACCAGGATCCCCTCCTTGTTGTTGTTGATTTTTCTGCTGGGAAGGCCTGTGATCTGCGCCAGCCCAATGGTGCACCTTGTGTCATCCTACATTGCTCGGGGAATCTGTCCAATAAAGGTTGGTACGCACATGTGTGACTCGTCATCTTCGGTACTCTTATCCCCGCATGCTCACTTCTTCCAGCGTCATAGGATCGTGCTGCCCACAGTAGTAGCTGTTGCTCTGAGTCGCACTCCCCTCCACCTCTGCCCTGTGCCGTTCCATCCTGCCATCCCATCTTCTGCACCAACTGCCGTCCCTTCCGAAACCGCCCTCGTGTAGCGTAGTGCGCCAGATCCTCCTCGTCTTCTCTCTTCTCCGCTGCCTCTACCCCCTTCCTCTCCATCCTCTCACTCCGCTCTGTCGGGCCTTCCAGATGCAAAGTGGGGTCGGGGAGAAGCCAAGTCATCCCTGTGGGTAGTCCCCACTCTGGCCATGCACGTCGATTGCACGCTTCCTTGCAATGCCGTAGCATGGCTGCCTAGTCGCCGCGCTGTCCACCACCCCTCTGAGGTCGCTGTCGCATGGGAGGGGGGATATGCATTCCTCGACGTGTTCCACATGCTCCCTGCGTGCGCTCGCACGATCCAGAGGTACAGCGCCCAGTCCCCCCTCCAGTACTGGACGGCTACGTTCTTGCCCCCAGTTCCTTTTGGGCCAACTTTTTCTGGGAGTGGGATAATACCTCTTCTTCGGGCCTCGCCCGTCGCTCTGGCACTGTATTCGTAGGCGATGCATGCTCGCAAAGTTTCGGCGCTCATATGACACCCATATTAGTTCGACTAATTTTGCTCTCCGTTGTTTCATGTAATTTCCTCTGGATGTTTTTCGAGCTACCGTCACTTCTTCTCTTAGTTCAGTCTGCACAAGACCGTACTCCCTGTCGTCGCATTCGTCACGCAATCGCCCTCGAATCATACGCCTCCGTCGTAGTAGCTCAAGCCGGTACGCACGTGCTGTTTTGACTATTCGGTCGAGCTCATCCTGCGGGTGTGCTCCGAAAGCTCGGTTCATGGCTCGTCGTATTGCTTCCCCGGATAAGTCCAAGATGCTGTGTGGTGTGTTTTGCGCCAGCGCCCCCTTCCATGCTGCCTCCCCCACCTGTCTGATATCCGCGTCGATGGCGTCGAACAGTTCCGCCCCCTTGCGCCCCCTCCGCACGCACTCCATGAGACCGTCCCTGCACGGTCCCTGCTGTCAGCGCGCGGTCGGAGCTGGGGGGGCGAAGGAGGTGGGGGGAGATGGTCAAGCCTAGTCGGACGTGGTCACGGTGCCCTCTGGTCTCATGTTTTTGTAATCGCTGTCCTGCTCCGTGCAATGGCGCGCAGTGCTCCACATTTCCCAAACGCCCCGTGGGTAAAGCAATGTGGTCTACTTCGCTTGCGTGCCCAGGGTGCCCATATTATGTAGGACCTATGTTACAGTGCGTGGTCACTATACTCAAATCGTTCCCTGCACACATCGTCCGAAAGCTCTGTCCGTTGTAAATTTCGAGCTTGGGCACCTTTGGGCCTACTGCCGGGCCTTTACTACATACCACTCCCCCGTCGAGGTCCCTTTGGCACCCGAAGTCGTTGTTTACGTCACCTCCCACTATTATCGTTGCGCGGCATCCTAATATGTCGATCCGTTCGTCTAGCCAGTGGCTGATGGAGTCCGCCAACTTGGGATAGTACTGCAAGTGGGTGGGAGCGTAGCAGGCAGCAAATAGGGCGTAGTCGAACTTTGCTGTAGCGAGTCTCACCCCAGCGACTCTCCCCTGCAAAGCTGTCGGTGGGTGGTAGATGTCCCTCACAACGTAGGGTCCTAAACCTTTGCTGATACAAATGGCGGCTCCACAACTGTTGTTGGTCCACTTCCCTGTCTTGGCTCCGAACTGGATGGCATCGTGGTACGACAGGATGTTGTGTTGAGAAGCTTCTGTGCCCGCCCATCTACACGTGCCGCTGAGCAATATTACGTCCCAACTCCGTAGTTCGCAACTGATGTCTTTTAGTCGTCCCAGGCTGGCCGCTTCCATTGGGTTGTAGTAGCAAGTGCGCATAGTGACGCAAAAAAAGGGCGACAGCCATGGAAGCCCCCCAGGCCCCACTGTTCCGCGGGCCTACGGGTGGGGGGGCGACGTCGCTGGTGTACGTGTGTGCGTGAGGTTCGGTCGCTCAAAATCCTGACCTCGACCCAGCGGCCTAGGAGGAGGAGGGTGGGGAGGAGGAGGAGGGGAAGGAGGGGAGGAGGAGAAAGAGGAGGAAGAGAAGGGGGGAGGAGGAGGAGGAGGAGGAGGAGGCGGAGGAGGAGGAGGAGAAAGAGGAGAAGGAGGAGGAGGAGGAAATGGGAAGGAGGAAGGGGAGAAGGAGAAGGAGAAGAAGGAGCAGAAGGAAGAGGAGGGACGAGTTTTCCCCTCCGAGAAAACAGGGGGAGGATCAAAATTAAAGATCCTTCACGGTTGGGATGCCTCTTATATGGGGTCGGAGTACATGGGGTCGAAGGATCGCGCCGCATTGCCGATGCATCGGCGATCTATCAGGGATGCATTGGCACTGCATCTTCGACGTCGGCGATGCATCGGCGACGACGTCTTGAAGCTAAGCGGGATCCACATCGCGCCGCATCGGCGATGCAGCGATCCTTCGACCCCATCCACTCCGACCCCGTCTGGGAGGCCCAGACTAGTGGTGACCCCCCTTCGCGCTGGCTGAGGATAGGGGGGACGACAAGTACGGATCCCGCTGCTGCTGGACCTCACCGGGGACGCGCTCTGGCCAGCATCTCCAGGCGAAGCCAGCCATGGCGACGAGGGAAGGGTACGTCGCGGCAGCGGTACCGCCACCTCTTCCGCACCTGACATACGAGGCCTATGTGGCTTCACAGCAGCAATTCGGCCCCTGACTTTCGTCCTGGGTTCGGTTTAGTGAAGTGATGAATTTCGGGGTCCTTACGTAGGAAAAAAACATCACTTCACTAATCTGGGGCCCCTGGGGCCTCTGTGGGCCCTGGGGCCCAAAATTAGTGAAGTGATGATTTTCGGGCCTCGGATGACAGGGTTGGCGGCGAGCGAGGAGGCAGAGTGAGAAGCAAAAGGCCTTCTCAGAAGGCGGCGGCCTTCTCAGAAGCCCTCCGGCCTTCGGAGAGGTGTTCTGCGTCTTCGGGGAAGGCCCACCAGACCTCTCGAAGGCCAGGGGGACTTCCGAGCCTTCTGACCGGGCCCGCCCCTTCCCTCACTCCCCCCCATCGCTCTCCGACGAGAGAGAGCGCAATGTCCTTCGGCCCGGGCGTCGGGGATCCGAACGCCCCCCACCCTCCGCGCAAAAAGGGGTTAACAACGTTTGCCGTGTTCGTGTTGTTTTCAGCTTCTCTCGTGCCTGTCGTTGTTCCGCCTTTGCCACAAAGAAGGATCAAGACGAAAACGGCCCACGTAATCGCCCAAAAAACCGTTTAGCTCGAGCCCTGCCGAGACCTCCTCCTCCTCCTCCCCCTCATCCTCGTCCTCCTCCTCCTCTTCCTCCTCTACAATTACACAATATGAATACTACTCTCCTCCATCCCCTGATGGCGTGCGGAAGATAGCGGGCACCCCTCGGCGTACTGTTTCTTAACGCACAGGATTTCCCGGAGTTGGGTTTTCGCTTGGTTTTTTCAACATGATGTTCTCGCTGAGGCGCGGGCTTCATTTTCGGGCTTCCGCTCGTTCCGAATCGTGCTCCCGCTGCAGCGCTGGCCTCATGTCCGTGCTCCCGCTCGTTCCGAATCGTGCTCCCGCTGCAGTGCTGGCCTCGTTTCCGCGCTTCCGCTGGTTCCGAATCGTGCTCCCGCTGCAGCGCTGGCGTCATTTCCCGTGCCATGCCACGGCATGCAATGCAATGCTCGGTTGCGTTCCGCTGCGCGATGCCATGCCTTCAGCTGCAGCTGTCATATCCAGTGCTTAAATACCACGTCATGTTATGCCACGCTACGCTTTGATCTTCAACGCCATGCTATGCAATGTTATGTTCGGGGCCGCTGTTCGATGCCATGCTTTGCGTTGCAAAGCTTTGTGATGCAAGTCTTCACTACGCCACGCCACGCCATGCTGTGACATACTATGCTTTGCGGTGCTCTTCTACGCCATGCCATGCCGTGCTCTACAATGCATCGCGTACCCTTTCGGGGTCATTGCCCTGCTCGACATCCGACTGTGCGAGTAGAGAGGGGATCTACGCCATGGTAAGGGATGGGAGGGAGGGGTAGGATGTCAGGTATGACGCGAGCGCACCTAGCTTGACTTCCTCCTCCTCCTCCTCCTCCTCTTCCTCCTCCTCCTCCTCCTCCTCCTCTTCCTCCTCCTCCTCCTCCTCCTCCTCCTCCTCCTCCTCCCCTTCCTCCTCCTCCCAGAGGGCGTGCAGTGTCCTTCGACCCCGGCATTGGGGATCCGAACGCCCCCCCCGCCCGGCCGCGCACCCGGGGGGGGGGGGGTTCGCCCCAGGCGGCGCCGCCCGAGGGCCGAGGGCGGGGCCGCGCCCGCGGAGGCGAGGCTGGGCGGCTCGGGCCCGAGGCGCGGCAGGCGGACGCGAGAGAGCGGCGGGCGAGGGGCGGCGGCGGCGGCGGCGCGCACACTCCAAGGGGAGCGGCCCGAGCAGGAGGGCGCAGGGAGAGAGGAGGAGGAGGAGGGAGGAGGAGGAGGAGGAGGAGGAGGAGGAGGAGGAGGAGGAGGAGGAGGAGGAGAAGGAGGAGGAGGGAGGGAGGAGGTGGGGAGGAGAGTAGGAGGAGGAGGAGGAGGAGGAGGATTGGGACCAGGAGCGGAGGATGAGGAGGAGGCGGAGGAGTGGGAGGAGAAGGAGGAGGAGGAGGAGGAGGGGGAGGAGGAGTGGGACCAGGAGCGGGACCAGTGTAACCCCAAGAATCATCAACGATGTCGGAATGAACCCTCCCTCTAAGCTTCCTCTTCGCAAGCCCTTACAGCGGTTCATTTCCATTAGCCTCGTTGGAAGACAACCGTTTGAAGATCCTGAAGCGTGCCAAAACATTGCTCCCGGGATTCAACGCCACGTATCAACCAGACTGCTGCGCCCTGACAATCCAGAATCGTGCCCGAATGCCATCTGTGGGACTTCAACACCGCGAAGCAACGTAACTGTTGCGCCCGCACAATCCTGAATCCTTCCAAAACACAAGTTCTTATACATTGGCCATGGGAATCCGTGAAACCCTTACGAATGTATAAAACGAATGTGCGCGGCGCTAAGACGAGAGCCACATGTTGAAAAGGAACCGCCCTCAATCCGTAAAACTCTTGCAACTGTTAAACAGAAATGCGTGCGGCACTAAGGCGAGAGCCACATTTCGAAAACGGCCCGCCCTCAATCCGTGAAGCCCTCGCAATGTTTAAAACGAATGTGCGCGGCACTAAGGCGAGAGCCTCATTTAAAAAGGAACCGCCCTCAGTACGTGAAGCTCTTGCCCATGGTTAGCACGAGCGTGCGCGGCGCTAAGGCGAGAGTCATATCTTGAAAGGAGGAAAAGTGGGGGGAGAGGAAAAGGAGGACGAGGAAGAGAAACAAGAGGAGGAGGAGGAGGACAAGGAGGAGGAGAAGGAAAGACAGGGAGGCGGAGGAGGAGGAGGCGGAGGAAGAGAAGAGAAGGAGAAGGAGGTGGAGGAGGCGAAGGGGGGAGGAGGAGGAGGAGGAGGAGGAGGAGGAGGAGGAGGAGGAGGAGGAGGAGGAGGAGGAGGAGGAGGCGGAGGAGGAGGAGGAGGCGGAGGAGAAGGAGGAGGAGGAGGCGGAGGAGGAGGAGGAGGCGGAGGAGAAGAAGGAGGAGGGAAATCAGGAGGAAGAAGAGAAGGAGAAGGGGGAGGAGGAGAAGAGAACATGGAACATATAATGGACCGAACTCCCTCGCACCCAGCGAAAGGGAAACACAGCCTGGCGCACGATGCCACCGACAGACACCCCGCCCCCCACCTCCCCACGACATGGCACCCCGAAGAACCAAGCCGAGAAGGAGGGAGGGGATGGCGCAGCCAAGCCTGCCACCATTGGAACGCACACCCGCGCGAAGCCGGTCAGGACATCCCGTCCACAGCTGTGACAAGATGCCGAAGAACTTGCGCTGCCCGGCCTTGGTCGCCATCTAGGCGTACTTCAAATCCGCCTTGCTGATCACGGCGTACTCCAATTCCGCCTTGCAAATCACGGCGCCACTGACGTTGCAATGCTGCCGACAGTGCTCAAGGCCGAAACTTCTCGCCTATCACCCTCACGTTGCCATTCTGGCTCCGCGCGGCTGCGCCCCCCTGAGGAACTGCCGCGCGAAGCCCGAGGTGTGGGCGCACCTCGGGCCAGAGGGGCTTGAGCCAAAATGGCTACGGAGGAGGAGGAGGAGGAGGAGGAGGAGGAGGAGCAGGAGGAGGAGGGGGAGGACAGGGAGGAGGAAAGCGGGGGGGAGGAGGACGAGGAGGGGGGAAGAGAAAAAGGAGAAGGAGGAGGGGGAGGAGGAGCAGGAAGAGAAAAGCAGGAGGAAGCGGAGGAGGAGGAGGAGGATAGGAGGAGGAGGAGGAGGAGGAGGAGGAGGAGGAGGAGGAAGGAGGAGAGCAGGAGCAGGAGCAGAAGGAGGAGCAGGAGGGGGAGGAGGAGGAGGAGGAGGGGAGGAGGAGAAGGAAGAGGCGAGAGGAGGAGGAGGAGCAGGAGAAGCAGGGATGAGGATGATGGATGATGAGATGATGATGATGAGGATGATGATGATGATGATTGATGATGATGATGATGATGTTGATGATGATGATGCGGAGGAGGAGGAGGAGAGGAGCAGGAGCAGAAGGGAGGAGGAGGAGGACGAGAAGGATAGGAGGAGGAGGAGGAGGACGAGGAGGTGGAGGAAGAGGAGGAGGAAGAGAGGAGTAGGAGGAGGAAGGAGGAGGAAGGAGGAGGAGCAGGGAAAGCAGGATGAGGATTATGATGATGATGAGGAGGAGGAGGAGGAGCAGGAGCATAAGGAGGAGGAGGACGAGAAGGATAAGGAGGAGGAGGAGGAGCAGGAGGGGGAGGAGGAGGAGGACGGGACGACCTTGCGGCATAACGTCAGCTTCAGGCAGCAGCTATCGCCTGGATGCCTCCTCCTTGGCCTGAATTCGGGCTGCCAGCGCTCGCAAACGGTCAGGGTCGACCAAGCGAGACGACCCAGCAGCGAGAGGGCCTGGAGGGGCAAGAAGCACCGACTTCGACGGCGCTCTAGCAGGCGCCAGCAAGTCATCACCCTCAGGATTCTTTCTGTAATGAGGGTGGAGGCCAGACTGAAGTCTTGTGGGCACCTGTTCTCCCGCAGTGCTCAGCTTCTTGAGACAGGTCTGGCCGAGCAAGAAACATCGCCTGCTGGTGTATGCTCCGCAGGCAAAGCAGAAAAACAGCGGTCTTTGGGTCTTGTGCAGGATAGCAAAACCCAACTGATGTTGTCTCTCGGTCTCAGCACCCTGGAGGCGCCTCAGGGCCGTGGACAAACCAGCACAACCATTCATCGGGCGGGACTCGCCCTCAAAAGAAATCCTGAAACATTTCTTACATCTGAAAGCGAGTCGGTCACCACTGAGCTCCTCCCAATCATGCCAATCGGGCGGGGGGGGGGGGGAACTCTAGGCAACCTCTTCTCCCTCGGGGGTCTCTCAAAGTACAGCTTAGGAAAAAAGAGAGAGCACCTTCCCGAACATCAGCGCACACGCACGAAGGCCCTGCGCCTGCCTATCCATCATCTCCAGATCAGCAGGGGCAGGCTGAGGATGAAGCGAGAGGGCGTACTTAGCCAGGCGATCAGCGCCCTGGCTAGCTAGAGCTATTCGCTTCTGGTCTGGGGGGAGGGCCTGTATGATAGCATCCGACCGATGGGCGGGCGCATGCTGGGCCTCCCCCAGGGCATCAAATCCAGGAGATTGCTGCGCGGCACGACGGAAGCCAGCAAACATTTCCCGCGGGCAGAGCTGCGCCTCGTCCGAGAGGTTATGCAAACGCACGGCCCCTTTGCAATCACTGAAAGGGGAACGCATGCCCGAGCTAAAAGCACAAGCAGTGACCAGGCCCAAATTTTCGGCCGCCTGGGGCGTTTGGTGCAACACTGGCCACACAGTGGCCATGCAACGGGTCCGAACCTGGTAAACGCCCCCTGGTTCTAAATAAACTCCCGCGAAAGCAGCGCGGTTGAGTTCTAAAATTGGGCACTGGGTGGCCGAGCCGTCGACCGCTAAGTCGCAGCTCTCACTCCGTTCTACAAACTCCTCGAGAGACAAAGGCTGCCCATTCGCATCCTGGAGGAGGGGGTCCGACGCCGCCGAGGGTGGAAAGGAGTCATCACCGGGCTGGGCCATTACCAATCGAGACCAAAACAATCTCTCTGCGGGCTGGCAATTACGGGAAGCCTCGATCAGATGAGGCTCAACGGCTTCGCTGCGGGCCGTTGCAACCTCTGGGTCATCGCATAACCACTGACGGTGAAAAATAGAATCAGGTTGGCCGCACTTGGGACAACAGCCGTCTGAAATATAGCCTGACTCTTGCAAACAGTTTGCCGTCCAGCAGCCTTTTTTTTACCCTTAAAAAAAGAGCAGATCCAATATTTTGCTCGCGGCGCGGTTCGTTTCGAGCGGAGGGGGGGGGGGGGGGGCGGAGGGGATCCACACGCGCACACGCACACCATCAAACGAGGGGAGACTCGCCGCCAATCGCCTCTCATGGGATCTCTGAACTCCTGACTGCAAAAGGCTGGCAACCATGGCTGGGCTGTGGTACAACAGATCAACAGCATTGCCCTTATCATCTTGCCACCTACTAAAACTAAGTGCCTTCCAGCCTATGCGGTCTAAACTCAGAAGCATTCGATGACCTGGTCCCCGAGAATTCCTCCACTCAGCTGGTCCCAGACGTAACTCCTGAGCCTCGAGGTTCCTCCAGAGCCTGATGTGATCCCTGAAAGAGAAGGGGCTGGTGGACGGCGTCGTCAGACTTCTCCACAAGCTGGTCGACCATTGTCTGGCAGGCGCCGTCGCCTGAAGCCATGCAGGATCTCCATGGATACAAACCTTTGCCGTGAGAGACGCACCTCTATGCGCTGGCGAAAGACCTGAGAGCAGCACGCTCCTGAGACCGTTGAGTTCCTGATCGGGCATTCCCAGGACCATGGACCCGTAGCCCGCGGCAGGCCTGGCCCCACATATGTAAATCTTGTTCATGCGAGATCGGTCCCTGGGCAACTGCTTTCGAAAGTATCGGATAAATCCATGACGGGTCCTCATATCTTTGAAACGAGCCTTCCTTTTTGTGCGCCCTCCTTTGCATGCCCGGCGCTGTCCTGGGGCTAAGTCGCAGCCCAGCGAGATGGCCGAGTTGCAGGCGAGAGACGGGCAGTAGCGGGAAAGCTTCTTGGCCAAGCGGGCAGCCACGCGC